TAACTGTTTTAACATAGTTAATTATTAGCTAACAGACGTTTTTTTAATGTTTCTTTGAAAAATTTAAGTATTAACTAATAAATATATTCAAATTTTGATAAAACTAGGTAACTTTTTTAAAATTTAAATATAAAAACTTTATATCGAACCAATATAAAATTTACCGTACGTAAAGCTAAAAATATGTTTCAGTAGAAAACTATTTAGTTTTTTATCAAATTTTGAATATATATTTATAATTTATATGTTTATAATCTTAAGAGTTTTTTTGTAAAATATTTGTAAACTTAAGAGTTTTTTCGCAAAAAAATAATTCATGGTAATCTGGAAACCTGCTATTGCAGGTAAAAAGGGCAAAACCGACAAAAAAATGACAAGTTTGCGGTATAAACGAACAAAAAATCTGCCGAAGGATAAACCGACATTTTCTGCCAAACTTAAGGCTTTTTATAATGTTTAATGATTCTTATAAAATCTGTTCCGTTTGGAAAATGGATCGAATGTGCCAATGGATAAAGTGTGAGGAGGACCGTTTAGTGAACTGTCGAAATAACCTATATTCTTTAGAAATAAAATAAAATAAAAAATTGCCATTTCTAATTTTTTACAACAACAAAATTGATAAAATAAAAATTGAACAAAAATTGAACAACAGTCACAATCAGCGACCAGCAGCCGCTAACTGTTCGCCACGTGTGTATCTGTTTCCACGCTGGACTCTACTTCCACCTTCTTTGCCCTCTTTGGCGATCGATCTTCCGATGAGCTTGCCGGCGACGTCGACCTCCGTTTTGATGTAATCCGAACAGGCTCCGGCTCACCGGAATTAATTCGGAGTGGAAAATTTAGTAAAGCACGAGAACCACGCATCTTATACGCCGCCCTGTCATAAGCAAACGCCGCGTCCTCCGCCGTCTCAAACGTCCCCAGCCACACCCGAGCACCGTTCTTCGCCGGATCCCGAATCTCCGCCGCGAATTTACCCCACGGCCGCCGCCGCACACCTCTGTAGTGTTTCCCCCTCTGCTGCGTCACGCCATCCACATCCGCCGTCTGCGACGGAGATTCCGCTTGATAACTTAAAGTCTCCGGCGATCGCATAAAAATCTCCGGCTCAGATTTAACAGTAGCAGTACTTGGTATCGATGTCAACACCGGCGACGGGAGGCACTCAAAATCCAATGCTTCGTGAAGAAACCGAGCAATTAACATGTCGTCAGAATCATTCTGTTTCAAGGGTAATTCACCCCAAGTGTCCGACAAGCAAGGAAACAAGGTGTTTGTCCGGCAATACATAGGTGGAGCTCTCATGCCGGAATTCATGGTGGAATCATCTAACAGATGACGACGAATAGACTCAAGAAGAGCAAAATCGGAATCAAACCCATTATTTCCCATCATTGTTGAAACAAAAATCGAATTGAGCAAATACCTGAGACAGTTTTCAGTTGAAGAATCAGAAAAGGTTTAAATAGGTAGGAGATTTGGGAAAGGTTCATGCACCTGAGACCAATAAAATATTAAAAAATAATAGATTAATTAGTTGTTTTCAACTTTTCTTCACATGAGGAAAACGGTGGTTTCTTGGAAGGTGATTTATATTTTAAATTAAATTTAAAGTAGTGGGATTTTACGCACATGATTTTATCTTTTATGACTTTTATGTTGCAAGTGGCAATGTTGGTAAGGACGGATGACGTCATCACTTGTACCTTTCTTATTGGATATGGCTTGTTATTGGAATTGACTATTGAGCCCATGTGGATTGAAGTGAAGTACTAACCTATCAAGCCCATATAAATAAACCCGATATTGTATATGATTTAATCCATTATTACCATATGGCCCAAACCCTAAACTAACATTGGTTTGATATGATACTAAATTGGATTTCGACTAGCTATGTACATTGAAGAAGATACCAAACACCGGACTTGATGTTATCGTATGTACATTGGAGAACTCTAAGATTTATGAAATTTTTTTGAGCATATTGTTATTGTTCATGATGACGTTGAAATAGATTCCTAAATTTAATAGACGACCTTTTTACCAAATCTATTGTTAGTTTGGTGATTGGTGAGTCTATAAATACAATATGGTTAATTTATAATGGAAAACCAGATACAAAATTTCAAATAATAAATACCATCGCTTGTTTCATGATCTCTAAGCCACATATCTCTTTTTGCACGGCCGAGTTTTGTAAAGACTAACAAGAAGATAGGAAAAAAAACGAAACAATTACAAATAGATAGTCCTAACTGAGTTTTGTAACAAACTCAGTGACTTTATGTTTGCGATTTGTATAAGCGGGTAAATGAAATGAAGACGAAACTTTATCATTAGATAGAATCTCAATTATATTTTTGCCACCGAAACACTAAAGTATTACAAAAAGTGCATATGTCCTACAAAGACGTCATAATGACGACATCCATAGCTATACGTTTCATACTACACAAACCCAACGAATCAACTCACCCAAACAATTCTCTACCGTACATGAATATTGGACTTCTCACCAAAGAGTAATCTACATCCAAAACTAAGAGTCCACTTAATGTGCAATAAGCAAATGGTCCATACTATATGGATGATTCGAGCAAATAGGACATAAAACTCAATGGTAGTTATGGGGTGGGGTGTGCGGATGGTACAGTTGCACCTGACATCCAATCGTAAGGGACCTCCGAATTCAGGGGCAGATCTATAAGTTTGGTATATGTTTTTTAGTAAAAGAAAAATTGTATGTGTTATTATTAAGAAAAAAATTACTCATAACAAGTAATCATACACAACATAACATTTAAAGTAATTTTAATTATAAAAAAAACTAACATAAAAATCAAAATCTTGTTACAAATTCTAGATTTTCTTTAGGAAAATTAACAATTTATGGAGTTTTAAATTATCTACATCCACAAAAAAAAACCCCAAATTCTATTCATAGTAATAATATATAGAAACGTTTTTAATTTTTACAAAAACCACCAATAAAGAAAACAAATCTAAAAATTCAAAAGTTCAAAACCGAAGAACCATTAAAGCTACTTGTATATCATTTCATGAACATGACATATTTGACTTTATCATTAGTATGTTTATATGGTATCATATGTTGACTAAAGTAAATAACTTGAGCATATAACTAATGTTGTTATGGCGAGGTCTCCAGGTGCATGTTTAGCTCTTCATCCATGGATTCTGTCTAATAAGTATCCGGGAATTCGCTCTGAACGAAATAAACAGTTGTTGGGTTAGGAAGCCATACTGAGGGTTAGACCCCGATATTGCTCTCAGACGCCTAAGTTAGATTGCAAATATGAGAATTGCTTTAATATTGTATATAGTGTTTCTTGCCCTTATTCTTTTATACCTGCTTACCATGCTTCTGAGAGTTTTTATAGGATTTTTGTGGTTCTGCAGGTTCATGGCTTGGCCCGATTCTTCGTTTATTACCCGGTCTGCAGGGAGGTGCACATTTTGTCATTTTATTACTTTATTGCACCGTATTCTTCCTTTTACATGATCTCTGAGATATGATTATGAAATTCGTGCACGGTTATTTGTTCGTGACGGGTTGTGGTCCTTTACTGCTCGTCCCGGGGGACTCGAGTCGGTATGGGGCTATCTCAAATAACCAGCCCAGGTACACCATTAAGCCCCCCCCCCCCCCCCCAGTCAGAAGGGTAAAGAATATTGTCAAAATATTTTCCATTTAGACTTGAGTATCTGCCTTGGCTATTGAAATGTCTGTCGTATGGGGTGACTTAATTGTTCACATCGTCAGAATTCGTGTCGTCTGTTTTGATTAGATTGCCCCTAATTAATGCTTTAATTGGTCTCAACTGTTACTTAACGGATAAAGCTTCAGTTTGGTAGAAGCTTCTATATCATATTCTTTTTTTACTTTGCACATCATGGTTGCCACTGATAATGGCATGGCAACAGTTGTCTCTGAAGTGGATAGCCTTATGCTAGATCGATATACATATGAGTATCACTTGTCGCCCATACTTGGTTTTCAACTTCCACCTTTGTCATCATCTATTCTCTAAGACCCCTTCGGTAAGGTTGGGTTTTATTTTAGGCATCTTGCTGCTTTAGGTTACCTCCATCTTCCTTCTTTTTGGAGGTGCTATGTGTTTTACAAGGTTCACCATGTGCAATTGTGCCCTAATGTGGTATCGATGGTGCTAACTTTTGAAGATTTATGTGTTGCCCATAAAAATACCACTCAATGTTGCCTTGTTTCGCTATTTCTACTGCCTGAAAGCTACGATGATTAGTATTCTTTTAGTAGTCATTACTCCCCCCTCTCTTCTAATTTATCTCACACAAATGGTAGCTGGAAGAGAAAGTTTTATTGGGTAGATGTACATAGCTTATGTCTTCCCTTTTCTCCTTGCTATGTTCCTCTCTGCAATGATCCAGTGTTTTTATATGACGATTTATCCTCTTACATAAATTTGTTCACTAATTTCTGTGTAAAAAGACCGTACTTGACGGAAGTTGTACTTACCTTGTGCCGTATGAGCCCTTTTTGGAAGGCTCGATGTTAACTGCCAGTTTTATCAGTGCGTCATCTAGGTTTGTTTGATTACTCATGCTTTTTACTTGATCTGGCAATGTTTTTACTTTCCTTTGTTTCATGTAATCTCCTGATATAAATGTTGTTATTGTATGCTTTTTATTTTCGCATTAAATGTCGTCGATGGTTGTAAATACCCCTTCAAGTTGACGTCATATTTGGCCGGTGATATTTCTCTTGAAGCAATTATGTTGGATGATGTGATTCCAGATCCAGATGTGGACCTATTTATAGTGGTTGTTGAATCTCCTGTTAGACTTCATTGGTTTGGATTGGATGCTTTTTCTGTTAAGCAACTTTTAGAAGCTTCTTGTCCTTTGATTGCCCCCTCACATGTTGGTTCTTCTAGTTCAGTGGAACTTATTTCCACAAATGTTCCTTATCCTAGTCGGAAACATAAACGACCTCTGACACCTCATCTGTTTGAACATTTTTTACATGAAGTTTCCCAAGCCCTTTATTGTGTGTCTTCATTGCCTTCAGATCATACCGTTCCTACCTTGGCTGGTATGTAGATATTTTATTTTCCTCTTTGTAGCAATTTTATATACATACGTATATTTCTGTACCCATCATTGATATGATAGCTTTGGATTCCGTGTATTCTTTTTCTTGTATATACAGATGGTCGTCCTTCTTGGATTCGGTTTGAAGAGGAATTAGACGAGGCATGTCGTTGCATTTCCCATGCTAAAAATATCATATCTACCATTCTTGGACGAGAACTTAAGTTTATTGATGGGTTACTAACTTTAGGGGATCAATTTCTATCTATCGAGGTTAATCTACGGGCTTCAGAGGGCATGAAGCTAGTTAGTGAGGAGATGATGGTGAAAGTTGGGGAAATGTATGTCGATCTGTCTATCCGGTATGGGGACGCTGCGGCCAAGAATACCATGCTAGAGGATCAAAAGTCCCTTGTTGAAACTGACTATGAGGCATGTCTTTGGGAAAATGATTTACTTCATGCCCAACCCGCCTCCAAATCGTAACAATATTGGAGATGTAGGTCGGTTATGCTATTTTATTGGTTTTTGGCAAACAACACCTTCTTTGTATTGCTTGTGTACCTATCTGATCCTTACTATGTGGCTTGGTTCTCTCTTTACTCCGTCTGTGTAAGGTCTTACTATGGTCGAGGTGTCATTTTATTGTATAAATGTAATCATGGATGGATGCCTTTGCTTGAAAAAGATTCTTGAACCTTGGTGTTATGTTATTTGGTCTTGATTTTTTGGTAGGTAGTCATGTGTGTTTGGCCTAGTATGTACATGATGTTTATAAATATACCTATTAGTCTTAAATTTCTAACCTAAGAAAACTTTACTAACTATGCATTTATAGGCAGTGTACCTAGTCAAATTATAGAATAGCTCAGGTAAGTTGGGTGTCGAACACAGGGAACAAAATTCAGTTAAATAAATTAACTACTTCTAATTAAACTAAGGAACAAAATTTAAGTGGGGGTGTTTTTACTGATATTTCAAGATCAAAGAACTTAAACTATCGACTAGCAATTAAGCAACAAAAAAAAAACAAATTAACTTCAAGAATTAAAAGAATACTTCTACTTAGATCCGATTTCACCTTCTCTTATGGTTGATTTCTAATGGATGGGTTATATTGATTACCAATTTGTTAACTAGTGTAACACCCATAAAATTCGAACCAATTTAAAACTTTTAAAAACATTTTTAACCATTAAGTTATTACGGCTTGTTTTTAAAATAGTTTAAACATCAGAGTATCCCCAGAATCCAATCATGAAAATATAAGGAGGTGCACGATCACACATTCGTCTTCCCGCGATCATCAGAAATACCTGAAACAATAATCAATAAATGTAAGCTCGAAGGCTTAGTGAGTTACCCCCAAAATACCAACGCCATACAGATATAACCATATCATATATAAACAACACATCATGCATAATGAGCCATCAGTCTGACTGGACCGCCTCGCAGGCCATCTGTCTATCTGGACCGCTCTCTGAGCCATCAGTACTTCTGGACCGCCCGCTCAGGGCCTTCAGCCTATCCGCACCGCTCGCCGGGCCTTTGGCCTGACTAGTATGCCCTAACCGGGTCTGCAATCTATCCGGTCCACCCTGGGTGTCTTGGCCTACAACACAAGCATGACCTGCCTCAACCCAATCCCCCAACCAACAGAACATGTGCACATGATATCATACGCTAGCATGTAATAACAGATAGTCATACATATCACTAACATGGCAACCATCCTATAACCAGGATACCGATATAACCGATCAATAACATAGCAACCATCCTATAACCAGGATACCGATCTAACCGATCTCTAACAAAGCAACCATCCTATAACCAGGATATCAATCTAACAGATTACTAGCATATCAACCATCCTAAAACCATGATGAAATCTAACAGATCACCAACATAGCAACCGTCCTAAAACCAGGATGCAAATCATAAAGGGCCAGCCTTAGTGCCGTAGATCCTCTTGATATAATGAGGAGAACTCACCTGGCACTGCTGAAGTCCCGCAGGTAAAACTCCAGCTGCTGGTTGACAGATTCCCGAAATGTCAACATCAAACAATACTCAATTAATAATTGGGTTCCAAGCGTAAGGTGCAACTCACACTCCAAAGGCCCAAAAGTCAAGTAATGACCCATCAATAACCCAATCGCCAAAGTCCAATTGGGCCCACGCCTTTCCAATGGGCCTTATCCTAAAGCGCATATAAATATTCAAATTCATATGCTTGTTCTTGGATGGCCCATCAATAACCCAATCACTAAAGTCCAATAGAAAGGCCCAACTCAAGGCCCAAGTGAAATTAGGGTTTTCACATGAAATGACGATTAGGGTTAAGTGTTCCTACTTAACCCATTAAGGACTTAATCCATTAAGTCCAATATTGCCTTAGGTTAATTTGCAGATGATTATTAATTAATATTTTAAGTTTATTAAATAATTCTAGTGCGGGTCTCGATCAATCCCCAAAATTAGGGTTTCATGACATTAGGTTTTTCCCAAACCCTAATTAGGGTTTCCAACCCAAATACTAGCCCATTAGTTAAATGGTTGGGCTTTTAGGTCAATTAGGGCTTCATTGGGCCTATTAGGGTTAATCAAGTCAGGCACCGCCCACTACCACCTCGGGTAGTGGTGGTCAATGGCGGTTCACGGCTGAGGCCACCACCTAACCGTGGTGGTGACAGATTTTCCTTACTATTCCGATCAATTACAATGTTACAACATGATATCCAAATAAACACACACACACAAGAACACATAGACATACACCCAGCCACCCTTGTGGCGGCAGGCGGTGGTTGGAGGTGGCAGCCACCACCTCACGATGGTGGTGGTGGCTTTTCCGCGAATTCTGGTTACACAACATACACACACACACACACTTAACGCAATATAGCAACAGCACACACACACACACACCTAAATACATAGAAAAACACGCACTCAACCACCTTCCATGGTGGCTGGTGGCGATGGAAAGATGGCAGCAGGCGGAGTTGACGACGGTAGCCACCATGGTTGGCCGTCATGGTGGTTCTTCACGGGGTTTTTATAACCAAACGATCTTCCATAGTCTAACGACAACCACAACACGCATATACACACGATCCAACGCACCGAGCTGCTGCAATCGATTCATGACGGTGGGCGACGGCGGGGAGACTACGAATGGCGGTAGCAACAACGGGAATCGACAACATCTTCGACTTCATCGGCGGTGAGACGACACGAAGGATTCTTGGCGGTCTTATGTCTTCAACGGTGGCAGAAGAGGTCGTATAAGAAGGTTGCTGCAGCGAGGAATGGAGACTTCGCCTCCACCGGAGTACGACTCGACAACAGCGACGCTATATGGTCCGGCGACCCACTAAACCGACGTCACTTAAGACTCTTTGTCGCTGTCGTCGCTGCACCGATTGTTGGCTTCGATTGGCGACACCAGTTGGCAAGGAGGCGGCGGCCGGACATAGCAGCAATGGGAGTGACGGCTGGAGGTTAAGGGTACAGAGGGAGGTGACGGCTGGAGTTGCATTAGGGTTAGGGTTTAGAGGCAATGGAACAGTTAGATACACGCTCCCTTCAAACTATGATCCATATTGACAAAAACGGTCCCTCTTTCTCTTTTTCCTTTCATATTAAGTCCCAAAATTACCATTTAGCCCCTGACTCCTTAAGATCCTTTCAACTTTGATCCAATATTTACCAAATGGCCCCTCCATGACAAATTCTTTTCAGCTTAGGTACATAATTTACCCTTGTAACCCCAACCATCCAAAAACATTTCATATTAAGTCCAAATGACACCAGACGCCCCCTGACTCTAAAATCCTTTGCAAAATAAATCCCAAAATTACACTTTAACCCCCGGAGATTCAAATCTTGTCATTTGACTCCCCGAAACCAACACCCCGCTAATTATTATTTGATTTTGGCTATAAAATAATAATAAAATTACATCTCGGGGTTCCGGATTTATTATTTAATTATTCTATTTTAAACGGGATGTTACAACTCTCACCCACTTAAATTTGATTTCTTCCTCGAAAACGTTTCTTATCATTCCTTACACGCCGGACAACTTGGACTACATGGCTACAACACCATGCATAATCCCAGCCTTCCCAAGGCATTCAAAACCAACCCTCATAGGGCTCTACAATCTGAAGGTGAATGCATTCCTTGCTACATAAACACATTACTCAATCTGAAGTCTAAAATCTTGAGATGGTCTGACTCCCTGACATGCCACACATACTGAACCATTGTTATTTCCATTCCACTTATCCCTTAAACCGACTATCCAACTTCTGCTGACTGGAGGTTCTCACCAGAAAGCAGAATCACAAACCAAGTTTCCCTGCAGTACACTTGTACTTGACAGAAAACTCATCCGGAATACCAGATTCCTGCCCGGTTGTTGAACTAACGAGCGATCTTACAGTCGCTCCACGAGATTCCTGAAGGAAACTCCAACTAGCAATAACTGCCCTAGCTATATCGCCACTCATGGCTCCATCAATCCTTCTGGTCCATCTGACCATAATGACCTGACAATCTGTCGCTATCGAACCAAATACGAAAAGTGAACGCTACCAAAATATTGTAGTCTTACATCATGTCTGGTCTCCAACGACCTATCGTTTCCTGATTCCGATTATGCTGTGGTCTTCCCACATTCTTGCGAACTGGCCCACCCTGGCCTAATCATCTGAAATAATTCGTGAATGCTACGGGTCCTCCCGCAGTCTCACAACACTTCCCTTACTATCTGGCCACTAGATCTAACGGATCATATACAGAGTCTTCAGCATGACTGGACCGTCTCACCGGGCCTTCAGCCTATCTGGACCACTCTTAGAACTTTCAGCATGTCTGGACCGCCTCTCCGGGCCTTCAGCCTGTCTGGACCATTCTCCGAGCCTTCGGCCTGACTGGTACGCCCTTCTGGCCTTCAGTCTATCCGGACCGCTCTAAGTCTGTTGAGCATAAACCTGGACCCATCCTGGTGCCCTCTCCCATATAGCCAGTTCTCCCCCACTTGGGGTTTCAAACTCCTGATAAAATCCGTGGACTATAATCTCGGTCTAACTCTAGACCTCATGTTGATCGCCCACCCTCTCGGGAAACCGTGGTCTGATCCCTGACCAGTGTATCTACCACATACGTTAAATAACCCGCACACCCGTGTTGAATGTACTGCCGAGCCTTAGTAGCTAACAAAACCCTCAATCTATCAATCCAAAAACCCTCAGAGTCGAGCACACACTCGACCGAACACCCGAACTGAACTCAAGTCATGACTAGAACCCCAACCGGGTTCCCCAAATTCTAATATCAAGCACCGAGAAGACGTGTTTCTCATGCTAGGGAGTTTTACCGAACCCCCAACAAACACAACCCTCAACCAAACAGCCACTTGGGCCTCTTTTCTCCCTGACGGGATGTGAAACTTATCCCCGTTTCAAAACCGC